CGCACTTCTGTAGTAAACTCAGCATTCCGCTTACGAATGGGATGCGCAATTTCCCTACAGGATTTCATTCCACGTGAATGGCATCGGAATTGCTAAAGGCCAGTCCATAAACACAGTCTGCGTTAAAAACAATCCTATCAGCAATAAGTTTCTATTATATTGCTCAATATATAAAGAACCTTACCATGAACAGCCTTGGCAGTCTTCCATGAAGCCTGGCCTTCACAGAGGAAGCTGGCATTCTGTGTCGTTTCAGGACACTCGCATCAGAATGGCGAAAGTGAATGCCAACTTCTACTCGGTAAGGACTGCAGTAATATAAACATGAAAACACAGATTAGAATATACGATAAAAAATATCATAGACCAACGTGAAAAAAGTGCACAAAAAGACAAGGACAAAAGGACAGGAACACATAGGACGCAGACTGGTGCACACTCACAACTTGATCTATTGAACATAAAGGAAAAAGGATCAGAGAAATCAGAAAGGCTGTGTTCGGAGAATGCGAGCTTCAGAAACCAGGGCGTGAGCAAAAGATGTCAGGTAGACTGTTTTACAGACACTTTGGAAATAACAACAGCCTTTCCATGTAATAAGGTGGTGAGTTCATTCTGATTGAACATCCTGAAAAGTAACAAACAAAAAACAAGGAATAAAAGAGAGGAATACATACACTACATACGAGTGTAGACTCCCAACTCACAAATTGGAGAAGAAAAAAAATAAAGAATGCGAAAGGAGCTTTAGCAAAAGTTCGAACAGGTCCAAGTGGAATGTGCTAACTCCCACTCATATGCATAAGACTGTAAACACAATTTTCTTGGCAGCTCAGGTAACGGACGGATGTGCGGACACATTGGTCGCCCATACTAAGAATAATAAAGGCCTAAAATAATCCCCTTGTATGGTTTTCACAGTATCTGCTGATTATTCACGTTTTCTCTAAAAGCCTCGTCCCACTAGAGCGCCAAACACCGATTTTCGTCCGACGACACCACAAAGTTCCATGTCGCCGATGCTGTCCCACTGCAACGGCCAACGCCCGCGACAAATAATAGAGGCGGAGGGCACCGCGCTCTTCCAGACATTCTAGTTTACCAGTGAACAATACGGTGGAGGGAGGCAATCAAACAACCCCCCTTCCCCTTTCCGCCTCGCCTCCACCCGCCGGCGGGCCGGCCCCCCTGCGCGCCCGCCGCTGCCGCGGTTCCCCCCCCGCCCCACCCCGCGCGCGCCCGCCGCTGCCCAAGCGTTGCCGCGGTTTCCCCCCCCCCCCCCCCCCTCCATCTCCCCAAACGTTCCGCCGCTACTGATGGACCTCGAGCGAGTATGCAGCCTATTTGTGAGCGAAGAAAAACAGCCTCGTATTACCCCATTCGCGCACAATTAGTAATATTGGTAAAAGCAAGCGATCTAGACAATAACAAGGATTTTGAACGGAGGAAAGAATAATCTAGCCCTAACAGACAAAGAAAGGAACTTACTTTGGAACGACCGTACCATGATCTTGGCTGTTGAGCAGATTTGACGTAGTTCCACGGCTCACAGTCGCTTCCTTCTTGTTTAGACACATTTGAAACTAAGATAAACTCCACGCATCACGACTAATCGGTGAATTGACCTGAAGACAGAGATATGAAAACCCACACGCCCGGCCAAACGTGCAAAAAAGGGCTGTGGATTGGATTGGATTGCATTGGTTGGCTCTAATGGATATCTAGCGACTTTACGGAAACTATCTTCAACACGCTTGCAATAAAACGACCAGCAATGCAAATTTAAAAAAAAAACATTAGTATACACATTAATAATAACTTATTTAGCATGTAAAGATTGCCACAATAATATAAATGCGTCCTGAACACGTAGCAAAAAATTAAATACGAAACCAACCGCACAATGTATCCAACCGACTTCAGCGGACCTATAATCATTTAAAACATCAGACGTTCTGTATGTTGGTTTGGCTTTGGTTGTTAACGCGTCCTGCTGGTAACCTAGTGGTCGGTGGTTCGAATCCCACTAGAGAGAACGTTTTCTAATTTTTTTTTTATCGCGTTTTTTGCTTGTTTTTATTATTTTAAATATTTGCTGTGTTTTTCGCAGTCGCCGGCCCCCTACTTTAGGGTAAAAGTCGCGCAGAATGTGAAAATAGAAAGTGCGAGCCCAAATTTGAGTTGATGCAATGCACAAACCGTGACCCTCCTGTTTGCCGGGATAAATCGCTCCCTCCGTGCTAATAGGTTGGTTGGTGTAGTACGCAAACAGCGGAAGTGCTTTCAACGAAGTAAAGAAGCTAATAATAATGGGAATATTGAGAGAAAAATGGGAAAATGTGTATGTAAACGGTCAAACTGCCACAGTGATGCAGCCGAAGATTGTCTGAAGGCGGTCACCTTTAGCCACTATTAAAACAAAAATACCGCTATTTTAAGGCAGTTATTTACCTGAGCTCATAGCGCGCTACGTATTGAGCACATCTCTTAATTTTCTGACTTCCGGAAAGTAGTACTTAATTTTGTTCTGGCACATCAGTGATATCCATCGCCTGCCCCTGGTTTTACTTATTGAGGTTGTGCTCCGCAATTTTACTTTTTTATTATGCCTATATAATGTTTTTATTCCTGAGATCAAAGAACAGTGCGGATAAATAAACTAGCTTTCAGAAACGATATCGTTCGGTGTGATAACATTTATGTTTTGTAGCGCCAAGGGGTCACACTCACAAACCAGGCAGTGTAAACACCCACAACGCCTTTGTGTTTCCCGTTTTATCGTGTTAAAAAAAAAAAAAAGTTTTTATATTTACTTTTTTTTGGTGCGGTATGTCGTATAACCTAAGCTATCGGGGACAGATCATCTGGCTATGTGAACATTTGCAATATTTCTGTTAGATGGTCGTAGCTACCACAGAAAATAGTCGATTCTTGCCTGAAATAGCATATTTTCACACTCGATTAAAATCACCAATAACATGATCTCAGGAAAGTTGTGTACATCTCGCAGCGTCATAAGCAAAACACACATCTCTTTCTTGTCCAGATTCTACAATGTAATGCAAATTACTGTTTTTGTCACTCAAAGCGCGTGCTCAATCATGCCACGTGTTTGTTAATTGTGGTTGTTGTTTTTCACTCGGATTCTCTGCTATACCGTTTTTATTTTATTTTTCTTATCAGTGCCAAACACGTGCGTATACCACCGACCTTAAGTATAGTGCATCAAATTAAACTAGCTTCCTGAAAAGGTGTCGTTCGGTGTTGTGTAATTTATTCTTCATAGCGTAGGTGGTCAGGTCAGGTCCTGAACTGCAAATGTTCCACGCCGCATTATTTTTTCTCGCGTTTTCGCGATAAAACACGTCAGCCCTGCCATGCTGGGATCAAATACACCAGCGTCGGCAGTTATTTGCGAAGGATTGATCTACGCAAATATTTCCACTCGCTATTCATGAATTGCCACAGTTCGCCAAAATCTGGAGGACTTGACTGCATAGTAAAAACGGCAAAAAAAAAAAAAAGATAAATCGATGTCGGTCAGTAAACGGAACTTCCATGGCGGGGTTCGCCAGCCTGAACAGCAAAGCGCCGATGCCGGCCAGTAACTGAACTTCCGTGTAAATACCGGCCATCAAAGACAGCAAAGTGCCGATGCCGGCCAGTTACTGAACTTCCATGTAAATACTGGCCATCAAAGACAGCAAAATACCAATGCCGGCCGGTTACTGGAACCTCCATAGAAAGACTGGCCAGCAAAGACAGCAAAAACCCGATGCCGGCCAGTCACTGTAACTTCTTCGGCGGAACTGGCCAGTGAGCAAGACGAAACCCCGACGCCGGCCGTGGCCGGTAGCTCACCGGCGCCAATGGCCGGGCGCCGCCATCCTGTTACCGGGACCGGCCGGCGTAGTCCCGATACCGGCCGAAGCGGTGTGCTACCTGGGACATTTATTCTGAATCTTGAGAAAATCGGAGTTTAAACAGCTATTTCTTAGAGATGTATAACGAATATCGAATGCTATTCGCCGTTTGTGCTAGTTGGTAGCACGGATTTGTAAGTTGGTAGCCGTTTTCACGGAAGATTTGCTTTGCTGAATAAAATTCACATTGTTTGCTTTGAAGTAGTTGGAGAAAGTCAAGTTCAAAATGTTTTTCAAGCACGTTTTGGCCACTTTGTTCACAAATAAAATTTGACGAGAAGGGTTGTCGTCAGATGATGGTCATAAATATCACATTGAACGAATATCTCTTGAAAATTTCACTTATATTCGTGGTGAGATTTCTACAACACCAAACGCGAAAATCAACTACAAATTATGACTTTACATTTTTATTCTACGTAAAACTGTAAGGCCGCAAGTGTACGTGTGTCCACAAAAATAGTGTTTTAATGACAAGACAGCCTACGCATTGCCCAATGCTTAGTGCCCTCCAAATGGAGCTCTAACGGTACAACCTGATGCCAAAGTTTTAAAACTCAGTGTTTGCAGATTCAAAAGTTAGAAGCAATTTTTTTTTAATTTTACACTGGCAAAATGAGTCCCGTTTTCGGTGGCCGACGTCACTCCTTTTCAAGCGTTTCCTAAATTTCCTAAAACTGTTTATAACCTTTGAGTCAGCAAGTTCTGATACTTCGGCATCAGGTTCGAGCACCGAACGCTGCATTTGGCCGAAGACTGGGAGTTTAGTTATTCGTAATTTAGCGTTGCCCTGAAACATGTAAATGTAGATGTTTGTTTGCGTGTTTGTTATGTTTGTTCAAGCACACCACCAAACTTCTAGATACGGCTTGTTTCCTTGGCATTTGAGAATTTTGCACAAGCGGTCACGCCTCGGCTAATTATTAACTTTAAGTGGCTGAACGTCCCATAATTCTAAATACCTGCTTTTTGAACGAGGGTGATTTTAACATCACTGCTTATTCTTACCGCTTGAAAAAAAACAAAAAAACGTTATTGAATGTATTTGGTAAGCAGCAGATGGATTATTATTTCCAGGCCGCGCCAATGCCGGAACGGTCTGCGTGAAAGGCGCTAATGTGGGAATTTCCTGGGACGTACCTCCTCTGTACAGTAGATTCACCACAATAGCCCACGAAATTGGGCATTTGTAAGTATCTCGTCGCTTTCTCTATAAACACATGCGCTCAGCGTATCATCCGGGAAAAGCTTTTTTTAGTTACCGTTAGTAAATCTCATGCCTCTTTTCATCGCCATGGACAATGCGATATGGGCCGAAAAGAAGCCTGATCATAATGATCCTTGCTTTGCGTTTCTTAATCTGTCCCTGAAAATAGTGGTGACCATTAGATGGTTTTCGTAGCATGAACAATATTTTCGCAGGCTCGGGAGTGCGCGCGATGGAAGTGGTCCCCTGAGAAATGTCAAGAATCATCCTGGTGCTGTTGACTGCAAGTCCAAAGTCAAATACATCATAGACTCTGGAGGGCCTCCTGGACCGCCTTTCGCGTTTTCGCATTGTAGTGAGGAGGGGATGCAATTTGTTTTAAAGTAAGTATTTTCTTGAACTTCCTTAAGCCCTGGCATCATCGAACCTTTATTTTCCTTTGGACCCGTGACATTTCCTATGCTATTGTTTCACCCTAATTTTGAATGCATCGTTTGCCAGTTGATGGGGATGTTAATTGTAATCATAGTTACTTAAATCGTAGTTCACTTAAAAGGTAGCTAAATCCACCACACAAATGGTAACGCTAAAAGCGTCACCATATTACGAGAGGCAACGAGGCGCTAAGTTCACAGCGAAAATACATTGTATTGTGGTTGTACTGTTATTCTCGATATAAACAAATTATGGTCATTATAACGACTTTAAGGAACATCAAAGCGTTTACCAAAATGTAGCTGAATCTATTAAACTTCACAATTAATTTTTCTTTTTTGAGTCCTAGTGCGTCCGTCGGTTGGTTCGTGTAAACGAACTGAACCGAAAGAAACACTACAAGGTTGATTGATTTGACGCCCTTAAGGCCCGGTCACACTGAGGCAACAGTCGGAGAACTCTATTCGGCAACACGACATAGACTCGTTTCCGGCGACCCTCTCACGTCGCGGCAACAAGAACAGCAGGGCAACATGTTACTCTCACCCGGAATCCGTGTTGGCCGATTTGTTGTCCGACCACCCTGTCACACTGCGCTGACTTCTGGCCCAACGCTTGGAACACTCCACCGTCTTTGATTGTTTACCTTCGTTCGTGTGTGGCGAAACGTCGCTGGAAATCCGACTCTTAAATGTGCTACAGCATTCAAAGGGCTGGAAACTTCCACGGGACCGCATCAACTAGTGACCGTGGTTAGAAAACTTGACGCGGGGACTATTTTCCACCTTTCTTTTATGAAGATGTTCTCCTTTCGCTGACAACGGTATAGCCCTATACGAGGAAGATGATATTGCCGATATATGTTAGGAATCTACGACATCGTATAAGGTGTTTCTGTTCAGTTTTTTTCTTTCGTGCAATTCAAATATCTACTGTAAAATTGAGTTAGCACCTACAGTTCCCTGAAGCGTTTTTTGAAGCGTGGTGTTGTCTGAACTGACAGTGCTTAAAAACGACGACACCGACATTATCGGCCTTCATTACAATAGGTAAAATGAATATTTTTCCACGCTGTATACTTGCTTCCGCCTGCTATGTGATCGCTTCATTCCCCAAAACGTCCTGGGAATTTTTGAATCAGTTCGGGTGTCTGGTAGCGGCTGTTTCCTAGTGCCAAGCAAGCAGGCTAAAATATCGCGTTCTTTTATTGCATTTCTAAAGTACGACGAAATCTCGCAAATGTGTGTGAACAAAATAATGAGAGCGAAAAATTAGTTCTTTATTGAGGACCTACGCGGCCTTATAAAAACTAACTCAAAATTATTTGGAATGCAGTTAACACCCAAGCACACTTCCAATCCCTTTTAGTTTACTGATTCTTCGAGAAACGAGCTGGATGCTGTTGACGTCTGTGAACGAGTTGGCAATTCCTTTAGTGAAATGTTTTCTGATTAGTGAAATGTTTTCTGACGAGACCTTTCCCTTGCTAGTTATTTTACCTTAAAGACCGACCAACGAAACCATTTTCCGCAAGGTAGGAAAATGACCCTCGCTCCCTCCTCTTTTCACCCTCTCCCAAAAATCACGTGACGGCAGAGGCTTCTTTTGAGTCGGCTTTTTCTGTAGGGATAATCCTCAAAAAGCGCGAAATGAGCAACTAGCTGCGAGCGCCACAACGACCTTGAGACGTCTAGGTGTCTTCCCTCGTTTACGCGGGCACGCTCCATCCTCGAGATTGAGGAAGCCAGCGCGACCGCACGCTTTTTCCCATGAGCTGTAGGTCCGAGGCCGCTCGGTCGGTGGAGATCGAGGGGTCGTGGTATGCTGGGTTCGTTCCAGCAGCCGTTCTCTGGCATCGCGCGGCTGCTGGAACCATTCCCGTGTCTGCACGAGGATTGGCTCGTGCAATAAAGGGTTCAGGTCGTCGATAATACATTTATTTACGAAACTTATAAATCGAGTGGCTTTCCCTAATCTCTTCATTACTGTTTGAAACATATCTCCTCTCATAGGTTGTTCATCCCATTTTGGACTCCCCTGTTGGAAAATATCGATGATGGAAAGATGATGGAAAAGGCTCATACAAGCGTAACCGTAATATGGGACATCCTATACAAGCGAAAAGGCAGCTCCAGTAGAGTGGATTACGGCGGAATGATACAGGTAGGCGGAACCATACAAGCGTGTCGTATTATGGGACATCCTATACCGGCGTAGTGGATTATGGCGGAACCAAGTAGGCGGACGGAACCATACATGGATAACGTAATATGGGACATCCTATACCAGCGAAAAGGCGATACCTGCATGTTGGAGCCATATGACTCCAACATGGTGGTTTTGCCTTTTCACTGTTGTACACGGCAATTTAGTTTTAAGCTTTACATATATGTTTAGAAAGGTTGTGAAAGCTAAATTAATGCGATTTGTGCAGGCGAGTTATATGGCCAGGCGTACGTAGTATAGGGACCTAGTCGTAACGATCAGTCAGATAATTAAATACAATTTGTTAATTAACTTTTTAATTAGTGAAAATGAAACTATGGTTTCTATTGGAAACTTTCTGAGTCACTGAAAACCACAAAATCAACTCTTTTTAGAACGATATAATGCAGGGGTAGCATTTTACGCGTTCTGTAAAAATGCTTTATTTGGACGAGTTTCTAGGTTTCAGTTTCTTATCAGAGCTCATCTTTGCACCCACAGTCCTGTTCCCCAGGGGCTTAGACGCGCAACACACGTGCGCCTTGCTTCCCTCCATCCTACGAGGGAGGCGAGGGGGCGGCTTCGCACTGCGGCCACCGGGCAGCAGGACCGTAGGTGCAAAGATGCGCTCTGGTAAGAAACCGAAGTCTGGAAACGCGTCCAAATTGACCATTTTTTTAGAACACCATAAAATGCTGCTCTTGTCTTATATCTTCACAAAGAAAATTGATTTAGTGTGTTTTGATGATGCTTAGAAGTCTCTAATTGGAACCATGGGTCTATTTTGACTGATTAAAAATTTCAGGAACATACTATACTTAGAGAGAGGCTGAAGCGGTTTTGTATTTGAGAAAACACTTTTAAATCTTCTTCATTTGACCTCCAGAATCTCAAATATCAAAATTATTTGCTAATTTAATTAATCGAGGCTGCATAGAGTCATTTTTAAAGCGCTTTGAAAGCACTTCCCTAGAGAGCGACGTCACAAGAGCAGCTTTCAAAATCTTTGTTCACGCATCTTCAGCGCCTATGAAAGCTATGCACGCATATGCTATTTATTAAAGGGGCAGAAAAATGCGTCACGACTGGTGCCAATGCGGGAGAATATACCTAGAAAACTTGCGACTGGACGCGCGGCCCTTAAGCGACACACACTTGGCGGCTGAAAGGTCTTCTTACGATGTCACTATTGGTAGGATGTTTTTTTTTGTGTTTTCTCACGTTTAGTTATATCTTTGTGGAAAACGAGCGGGATATTCAGATTCGCGGGATAAAACCACGCGAGAATGAACCTCCATCTAGTTTTCTGAAAGAAGTCTGGCACATCTCTGTAATAAGCCGACTGATCATTACAAATTAGCCTTTTATACTATGCCACCCTGGCCATATAACTCACGTGTACAGACTGCGTAAATGTAGCTTTTACGGCTTTTTTTTTAAATCTGTAAAATATACAAAAAAACACTCTGTAGAATGTCCCCCAATACAATATGATTGTATGGTTCCTTTCCCGCTTGCATTGTTCAAGAAAGACTTGTGGATATCCAGCGTTTCATTGGAATGCTGGATGTCAATGAGTCTCTACATCAGTGAGTGGTTTCAAACAATTATGATGTTTGCACACCAGGAGCACTAAGAGCAGAGGCAAAATGTCGTGACCTGGTAAATTTGGTTGCAGGTATTTATTTTTAGAAGAACTGCATGCAGCAAAGCTTAACTTTGCTCAAAAGAAGATAATTAAAAATTCAATACTGAACAATGGTGTCCCTTGAGCTGTCAGACCAAACTCCCACTCTTGTCACTCAGGAGTTCCTAACTTATGCGTAGAGGATCAGCACAACCCAGATTTGTGCTGCAAGCGCACCTGCAATATAAAAGTTGAATAAACATGAGATGAAATATGAGACGTTTACAATTCTCTGTAATGAGAAAATACAGTACAGCTCTCGAAGAGGAAGATGGGAGGGTATGCCCCTCCTTCCCCTCCCCTCCTCCTTTTCTGCTCCCTCCCATTTAGGGGGAAACTTCCCCACTAAATTTAGCGGGTTAAGTTTCCCAATAAATTTAGCGCGGAAATTGATGTCACATGACCTCAACACAAATGCAGTTTTTCCGCTAAAAGTAGCGGGGAAAATGACGTCGCATGACCGTGTCACGTCATCCATAAAAAAATTCAGTTTCTCAGCTAGACTTAGCGGAAATATTAACGTCACATGACCACAACATTAATTCAATTTCCTGCCAAGTTTAGTTGGGCGGTTACGCCGACAGCGACGCCGCGAAACGCGGAAACGGGTGCTAAGAGCTGCGCTAAAAACTAAATGCATCAGGTGAAATAAAGTGAACATTATATATACTGTAAGAAAAAGAAGAGAATCTAAGATACCGTTCTCAGATCCTTCCTTTTGTCCGTTCTCAAATGTTTTGATATCAAGAAATGTTTATCTCTTTATTCATACCCAGAGAACCCCTCCCAGTTTCAGCATGAATGCAATAAATCAATGCAGACTAGACCTAGTAAACAATAATGCACATGAAAATGAATGTTTGCCACATAGTCATGTATCAGTCAGTGGCTCAGATCTCAAAATACATTTGTATTGAGGAACATTCTTGAATAAAACCTCTGGGCTTCGAATTCAACAGTTTGTACTTCCATAAGGAACACTGTATGGCACTGATTTTTTTTGTTTTTTGTGACACATCAGAAACAGCACAACACTGTCATCCTTGCATACCTAACAAGAATTTGTACCTTTTTTTTTAGCATGGCATGTGCTATTCTAATGCCCATACAGCCTCCTTTAACAAAATTTCCTTTGTATAGCTTTTATTGGTTCTTATTTAGCTCGCTCGACAGATTCGGTACCTTGAATTCTCACTCGGCATCAACAGTTTTATATATAAATGTAATAGCAAAAGACATGATGTATGGACTTGAGTACGGTTCAACAAGCACAGATGTTGAGAAAAGTACTGAGGAAAACTCAAATGTCAAAATAAAAATAAGCTGGAATGTGGATACAATTATGGACATGGTCATGAATACAGTTAGCAGATACAATATAAAGAATATGTGTTAGACGCACGCTCAAAGAAACCTGTTGCATCTATATTCATTCAAATTACTTTGCAGAACCCAGCGCTGCAGTCTCAGGTGGGAGTTCGCTGGATGAGTCTACTGAAAATGAGTGTAGACGGAAAAAGCAGTTTGATCTGCGATAATGAGCATTACATAAGTGACATGTCATTATTACTGTTACAGTGCCGAATGTTCCAAACTGTCAGTAGCATCATTCTGTGAATTCCCTCCGTACACTACAGGGTTTGGCTGTTTCGAATGCTTTGCGAGAAAAATGATGAACTGGAAATATCTAGAGTAGTTCTAGAAAAACTATTTCCAGAATCTTATCTCAGCATCGCAAAGAATATAAAAAGTTTCTAAAGACAAGGTTAGTGCAGGAGTTGAATAAACTAAATACTTTGTTTTTCGAAACCATCTTGCCGTAGTAAAAAAAGTTCCCCTAGGTAGAGCTAGTCATTACGGATGATTGTGCCCATTGCATACCATAAAAATGTAATTTGCGACCTACAATATTTACAAACTCAATTAACTCTGAATAAGTGGACCACTTGGAATTAAAGATTGGCCTCACCATGACTGTCTGCCAACATCTACATAATAATTTTCATGAACCTATGTATTTCAAGAAAATATTTGGTGCGAGCTGCTTAAAACACAATAGCACTTTTTAACAAGTGCTGATTGTTGGGCAAGTTGGTACGGTACGTTAGAAAACATAATTGCGCTTTGAAGACGGGGACATAGGAAGGACAGACACCACCGAGTGCTAACTTTCAACTGATTTAATTCAAGAACCTCAGCGTAAAAACACACTGCGTCACCGCACCACATCTCAACCAATCCGTGGCCCTGCCACGGACCGCAAGTACGCCAACTCCTTATCCGCCAAGTCAATTGACGCCACACTGACACAACACGTGCCAGAACTATTTATAGCATCAGCCTCCATAATCTCTCTAACAGTCATATCTTTGTGCCTAGCAAGAACAGTAGACGAAGCAAATAATGGTTTGCACTCGCAGTGATGATCTGTCGTGTCACTGCCATGACTGCGGGTGCAAACAATTATTTGCTTCGTCTACTGTTCTTGAGAAGCACAAAGATAGGACTGTTAGCGAGATTATGGAGGCTGACACTATAAATAGTTCCGGCACAAGTTGTGTCAGTATGGCGTCAATTGACTTGGCGGATAAGGAGTTGGCGTACTTGCGGTCCGTGGCAGAACGGATTGGTTGACATGTGGTGCGGTGACAAAGTCCGTTTCTACGCTGAGGTTCTTGAATTAAATCAGTTGAATGTTAGTGCTGTGTTGTGTCTGGCCTTCCTATGTCCCCGTCTTCCAAGCGCAATCATGTTTTCTACCACACTTTTTAACACTAATAGAAAGCCTGTAGTGGGCCACAACTTAAGCAGTTTTCACTTCATTATGAAGAGCAATTACACATATGTGAACCATGAATATAGGCCTGCACTGAATTTTTTTCTTAAGCTGAATGTGCTATGCTCTGTTTACTATATAAATCTTTGCAGAGCTGACAATGTGCAAGTTCCTGTTTTTTTATATTTCACATGTCCCGACTGCCGGGTGTGGTAGGGACATAAGATTGATGACACCAACGAAACACAATGATTATTTTAAGAATTTGCTTGTGTAAAGCACGAACAAGGCGATCTGCGGGAAGTTATTTCTGTGACACCGTCGAACCTACATCCGCGGGCTTTAAGCTCACATGTTAATCATGTCTGCAGACTCCTTTTTGTAATTGGAACTCCATCCAACCCAAGATTTGAATATGTTTTTTTGCATTTTAGGCTTAGTAGTGCTTTTGCTGTTCTAGTAATAGGTAAGAAAAATGCTTATTTCAAGTGGCATACCTAACACCTGGTGGCACGAGGACTCCCCTGTCGTGACGCTGATCGAAAGTCACAGGCAGGGAGATACTGCGATGCTCTTGTTGCTGGGATTATCTCCCCCATGGTCCTGGCCAGACCACAGAAAAAGATTGAGTCCAAGCGTGTGGCCACTAGGATCACCAGATCTTGAAGCACCCAAGTAGCTGAAAATAAAAACAAATCACAATCAAGTACTTGGCAGAGCTACATTAGAATGGCTAGCATATTCTTTCGTGATCAGCACATAGATCCTCTTCTTTTAGTCATAGTCACCCCCCAGGACAAGGCCACGTAGGCGTTAAAATGATGGGTACCGAATTAAGGCGAATGATCAAATGCATTCATTTAACCCTCTTTCGCCCCAACCTGAGAGACTTCTGTCAAATATTCACATTCAACTGTAAAGACTACAAATAAAACTACTACTGCAATGCAAAGCCGTATAGTCTGTTCTCAAATGTTTTGATTTTAAGAAATGTTTATATCTTTATTCATACCCAGAGAACCCCTCCCAGTTTCAGCATGAATGCAATAAATCAATGCGGACTAGACCTTGTAAACTATAATGCACATGAAAATGAATGTTCGCCACATAGTCATGTATGAGTCAGTGGCTCAGATCTCTAAATACATTTGTATTGAGGAACATTCTTGAATAAAACTTCTGGGCTTTGAATTCGACAGTTTGTACTTCCATAAGGAACACTGTATGGCACTGATTTTTTTTGTGACACATCAGAAACAGCACAGCAGTGTCATCCTTGCATACCTAACAAGAATTTGTATTTTTTTTTAGCATGGCATGTGCTATTCTAATGCTTATACAGCTTCCTTTAACAAAATTTCCTTTGTAGAGCTTTTTATTGGTTCTTATTTAACTCGCACGACAGATCCGGTACATTGAATTCTCACTCGGCATCAACAGTTTTATATATTGATGTAATAGTGAAAGACAACATGTATGGTCTTGAGTACGGCCCAACACGCACAGATGTTGAGAAAAGTACTGAAGAAAACTCAAATGTCAAAATAAAAATAAGCTGGAATGTGGATACAATTAAGGACATGGTCATGAATACAGTAGCAGATTCAATATGAAGAATACGTGTTAGACGCACGCTCAAAGAAACCTGTTGCATCTATATTCATGCAAATTACTTCGCAGAACCCAGCGCTGCAGTCTCGGGTGCGAGTTCACTGAATGAGTCCACTGAAAATGAGTGCAGACGGAAAAAGCAGTTTGATCTGCGACAATGAGCATTACATAGCATTACATAGGCAAGTGACATGTCATTGTTACTGTTACAGTGCCGAATGTTTCAAACTGCCAGTCGCATCATTCTGGAATTCCATCCGTATATTACAGGGTTTGGCTCTCTCGAATGCTTTGCGAGAAAAACTATCAACTGGAAATGTCTAGCGTAGTTCTAGAAAAACTACTTCCTGAATCCTAACTCAGCATCGTAACGAATATAAAAAGTTTCTAGAGATAAGGTTAGTGCAGGAGTTGAATAAACTAAATACTTAGTTTTGCGAAACCATCTTGCGTAGTAAACATATAAAGTTCCCCTAGGTAGAGCTAGTCATTACGGATGATTGTGCCCATTGCATACTATAAAAATTTAATTTGCGACCTACAATATTTACAGACTCAACCAACTCTGAATAAGTGGAACACTTGGCACTAAAGATTGGTCTCACCATGACTGTCTGCAAACATCCACATAATAATTTCCATAAACCTATGCATTTCAAGAAAATATTTGGAGCGAGCTCTTTAAACTGCCTTAACACTTTTTAACACTAATAGAAAGCCTGAAGTGGGCCACAACTTAAGCAGTTTTTACTTTATTATGAAGGGCAATAACAAATATGTGAAGCTTAAAACTAGGCCTGCATTGAATTGCTTTCTTAAGTAGAACGTGCTATGCTCGGGTCAATATATTATCTTTGCAGAGCTGACAATGTGCAAGTTCCCATTTTTTATATTTCACATCTCCCGACTGCTGGGTGGGGTAGGTACATAAGATTGATGACACCAACGTAACACAATGATTATTTTAAGAATTTGTTTGTGTATAGCACTAGCGAAGCCATCTGCGGGAAGTTATTTCTGTGACTCTGTCGAACCTACATCCGTGGGCTTTAAGTTCACATGTGAATCATGTCTGCAGAAGCCTTTTTGTAATTGGAACTCCATCCAACCCGAGATTTGAATGTTTTTTGCATTTTAGGCTTAGTAGTGCTTTTGCTGTTTCACTTCAAGAAGAGGTAAGAATGCTTATTTCGAGTAGCATACCTAACACTTGGTGGCATGAGGACTCCCTTGTCGTGATGCTAATCGAAAATCACAGGCAGGGAGATACTGTGATGCTCTTGTTGCTGGGATTACCTCCCCCATGGTCCTGGCCGGACCACAGAAGAAGATTGAGTCCAAGCTTGTGGCCACTGGGATCTCCAGATCTTGAGGCAACCAAGTAGCTGGAAATAAAAACAAATCACAATCAAGTACTTGGCAGAGCTACATTAGAATGGCTAGCATATTCTTTCGTGATCAGCACATAGATCCTTTTGTTTTTATACTTTGTACGTGCACCTATTAAAAAACTGCTCCTTCACAGCCACAGTCATAGACACACCCCAGGACAAGGCCACACAGGCCTTGAAATGATGGGTACCGAATTAAGGCGAATGATCAAATGCATTCATTTAACCCCCTTTCACCCCAACCTGGGAGAATTCTGTCAAATATTCACATTTAACTCTAAAGACTATAAAAAAAAACCTACTACTGCAATGCAGAGCCGTATAGTGGGAGAGTTTAGCCAGTGGGTGTGGTGACAAAGGTGCCGGAGAGGAGGAAAGGGAGGAGAGCGCCGAAGGAGGGAGAGAGAAGGCAGGAAAAAGGAGACGACTGCTATTTTGACGCAACGCTGTTGGCGCGGAGCACTGTTGAGGCTATGTGTCGTCTGCTACTGGCTTAATTGATTTTTGCCTTTATAAAAATTTGCGTTTAAACATGAAGAAACTTCTTTCTTTAGGTTTTTAAGCCACCGAGGAATAACACTATATTATTTTATTGCCAAAGCCTGCCAAATAAAAGCAATGGGCAGGTGTCTGGATAGAAAGAGTTTAGTTGGCGCACCAAGAGGCTAACCAATAAAAATGGGTACCACTCTGCGCAAAGTGCCTAAAAAGCGTGCATCTCTACTTGACACTAACAGCGGCACACACTATCTATTTTACTGACTAAAGGGTACTAGATCATTATTTTCAGCTAACTAGTCAAACTAGATATTCTTGCCGACTTGCTTTTTAGGAAAATTTTTAAATTTACAAGAACTATTAAGACAACGGCTAAAAAAAAAGCAACGGCAAAACCAACAATCGAATTCGCCTGCTCTCTAGTAGCACGACATCTATAGAAGGCAGACCTGCGGAATGAGCAACCAGTCTAAAAAAGAGTATGTCCCATGTATAATTTGTTTCCATGCTGCAAAGCAAGTGCTGGAAAGAGGTTTCACGACATTAACGAAATTTCTTGCAATCAGTTGAGAACAAGTTAGAGCAGTGAACTTGGCCTTGCCCTTGGCATAACGTTTTAGTGTTGCCCATGGAAACTCAAATAAATTTGTAAATAAAAACAAAAAAAACTAACCTTTATAAAAAAAATCTAGCTTTCGCAAAGAAAAGTTATCTTGAACAAAATATGCGGGATACGGTTGTACAGCATCCATTTTTGTGCTGAACCAATTTTGAGGCAAATCTGCGACAATGAAAAGAAAACGCCCGAGTACATTAGGGAAAGACAGAAAGGATGCATACCTACAACAAAAAAAATTTAGAACGACCACGGACAGGAACCTCTGGTGAGCCTCTCGGAGTGACTCCCTGCAATGGGCCAGCGCAGACCAGAGAACAAGATCGGTCAGAGCTTGCAGCCATAAGGTGCTTCATACCATGAAGTTCCAGAAGTAGCTGCAATTGGAAGCAAAGTGCATTTTATTTCTCTGCAGAATGGAGAGTTTAATAGCTAGTATGCATTCATAAGGTGATACAGTCACGAATGCAGATTTTTCAATGCAGCACTATATCACCAAATTGTTAACCGTGCCGGGCAACACTACAAACCGAGAGCATTATTCCAAACTATCTCAGTTTAAAGTTAACCACGGCAGAACTGCAAGCCATGTGACCTTCTAGTTGGATGCCATGGTACGTAGAGCTTATAATCATGTGTCACACTGTTTTTGCTGCAACGGCTTGTAGTGTCAAAAGTGGTCCAGCTTAAAGAGATGCAAAGTATAGACGTTTGTGAGTGGGGCCCCGACCTAGTCTTGAGCCACATTGCGAGAAAGGACGTTTCAACCGGGATGTTTGCTGCCTGTATCCACACGACCAGCTTGTGCACAGCGATTGCTTGAGCAGAGTACATGTCCTCGACAGTGCCATTAATTGACAAGCAGTTTTATGAATGTTAAACATGACTGACTTACAGAGACTGCATCTCAACGACTAATGACTTGGGATACCTAAGTGAATACTGATATATTAACTGAATGCAAAACAAATTACCTGGCAGGCATTAAATTTATCAACAGGGTGAGTCGACTCCGTATTAAGTTGGAGTCGATGCGTCAGGCACGTAGCCAGGATTTTGTTTCAGGGGGGACCCACTCATAACAAAATGCTGTATGAGGGGGAGGGGGGGAGAGGAGGACCCATGCAAAATGGAAGATATCGGGGGGGGGGGGGGGAGGCCGGGCCTCATAAGCCTCCCCCTGGCTACCTGCCTGCAATGCGTAATAGGACAATACAAACAAAGTTATGCCTTACAATTCCTTTTGAACCCTCAAAATGATGTGTTTTTGAAGGTATGATACACAATGTTCTTGATTCAGAAAGTGCCTCAGCTGTACAAATCCATATGCAATAAGGGCACTCGCCAAGCCTATTCTCCTCAGCTCTGTGCAGGTTAAGCTAAGTTAGAGTATAGAGGTACACGCTCACTGACACCATCAGAAAGGCAGGGAGAAGTCTCCGTTGTTCCACCACCAGCCCGTCTGCTACCTTCAATGACGTTTCAGCGCCTCATGAGCCTGGAGCAAGCACATCTGTCCAAAGCGGGGTGAAAAGCACAAGCACGTGCTTGAGGACGCCCAGCCATTCTCTTTTTGTCATCGGCTATTTTACATATTTTAGTATGACATATTTTTAAGTGAGAAAAAGTGTTGCAAATATGCAGTCCAACTTTGACCATAATACAGAAGTCTGATAAAGATAACAGTTGTCATTCAACATTTTCCAAATAAGTGCTCCCACCTATCGGAACATCTACACGTGGTGCGTGAGTGGGTTCAGGACTGAGACGCTAGAAAACGAAGCGCTCGCAAGGCTTGTCTGGCCCTTCCAACCATGCGGGTACATTAATCGCAAATCCCCAATTTTTTGACAAAATGATTTAGAATGAGCAAATCTTGTCTACGCCCGAGGTAGAACATTGAATTGTGATTCCCCCATATTGTGCCAACCATCCTTCAACCTGCGGTACCACCTGCAAATGAACTATGTTGTGCTGCGGCACGCGTCCATGCTGCCTGCTTCAGGGAAAACCACTGCTCGTGTTGAAGACGACATCCCACAATGCAGGGCCGTACCCAGAAAAAAATTTCGGGGGGGGGGGTTCTCGGGGACAACAGCGGCCATTTTGAAAGTGTCTATTGTCTTATTTTCGCCTATGAATCATGTGCATCGGTGGCATATAATGGAGAGTTATAGCAAACTGGAGAACCGGTCCCGCTTTGGTACCCGGTAGCCGACCGGTGCCACTGCGCGTGCGCAGAGGTGGAGATTAAAATCGGCTGGCTGCAAGTGCACCGACCAGGGCCGTACTCAGAAAAAAATTTGGGGGGGGGGGGGGCCAGAGCCCCCTAGCCCCCCCCCCCCCCTGGTTACGGCCCTGCCACAATGTACACGCAACAATGTTTAACGAACTAAAACAAAATTGATATCATTCAATAGACACAGATAGGCTTGCAAAGTGTCGACACCATGATTGTTGTTGTTCGTTTTACTCCTGCATACAAACATAAGTAACTTCCTCTTTCCTCAGATGTACACTAAAACCCCCTTACCTTCGTGGCCCCTATTTCTTCTCGAATCGGTCACAGAGGACATAATCGCAGCCACTGAATTCTGCAAAATTAAAGGCCGCGAAAATTAAAGGTTCGCCAACATTAAAGAGTTTACTGCTCTTCGGTGTGTCACATGATGTTAACATTTCAAGGAGGCTGAAGGTATTGCTTTAAGAAAAAATTGACCTATGAAAAAAAAATGCCCTTCTCCAGGTTAGGCACGCGAGGTTCTTTTGCACTACCTATAAGGCGGCAAGTTTGTTTCGGCAGAGCTTTTGGTTAAACGGAGTCACAAAAGTAGCCATACTTGGAGTCAACTATTTTGTGCTGCATTATAAAGCTAGAGTAAATTCCACTGTGCTTCTGCACAGCACAGTGTTGCATCCCATTTGTATGATCTAGAGAAACTAGCGCTAACAGAGTTGGAGCACTCAAAAAAAGAAAAAAAAAAAAAAACAGCCGACTGTGGAAACATTGAGAGATGCACACATGCGAACTGTGCATTTCTTAAAGGTGGATTCGAGCAAAGGTAAAGAAAATATGTATACTTACAGCGGCCATACTTGCCTTTCCCAAGCATGACCACTTTTCCCTCGGTAGCACCATCCAGTAAGCACCAGCAACACGCCCATGAGACGCCGCCGACTCATGGACTGAATGACGACCCGCCTGAGGTCTTGGAAGGAGACCCGGAACACTGCTTTAGTCCAGATGTTGTATCTGGAGGGGGCAAAGTAAAAATTAACAACTTTATCTGAAGCGCTACATTCCTATAGCATGAACTCTAGGATAGCACTATTTTTTTTTTAGGTCAGTGATGCATTTTAATTACACACAAATGGTTGGTTTATATGATGAACCAGCAGCCCCTATGTTCCTTAAGTGTAACGCAGTGTCTAACGTTACGTCCGACGGAACCCGAAATAAAAAATAAAGTTGCGCCCAACGTAACTGTCAAGCATTCGAGTTGCGTCCGACAGAACCCAAAATAAAAATTAAAGTTACCGTATTTACTCGAAAATAGGTCGAACCCTATTTATTGAATCCACCGCGAATAAAAAAAAAAATAATTCAAAAACAGGTCGACCTTTTTTTTATTTTTAAGAACAGGGGAAATTTTGGGCAAAAGAAAGAAACAAACCTTTATTTACATCACTCAGCTAAATCACGGGGCGATGCCAAAAACTTTATCACCGTCAGAACTTCTGGACATGTCATCGT